GAAATGTTTTTTTTTTTTTGAAAATATTTGTTCAGGAAGTTGCTAGTGATGGAAGATATCCACCAATAAAACAGGTCCATCAATGTTTTGGAAGCAAGATTGCAAGAAGCCCAATGATCCAAAAACATATTCAAAACGAGCCCTCTTCAAAGAGATTGTTGATGAAGAAACACGTAAATCCGAATATCATAATCCAATTTGTTTGAACTGATTTATTGGATGTTGTATGATGTTTATTCTGTATTTAGAAAATAATTTAGAAGGTTAAAATGGTCATTTTTCTCATTAAGATGCACACATTCAGATGCCTAACCAAACATCAATTTATGTTTAGATATAAATTCCTAAAGAGCCTCTGCATCATCCAGACATCTATATCATTCAGATATGATTCATCCAGATACTTCCAAACAGCCCCTTAGTATTCATGATACATGTATCTTAATGCTAAATTGCTAATCACTTGATACTTTTAAAAATAATTAAAGTGGTAAAAGCACATTGCAATAAATTCTTATACATTGCAGTCCTTAATGTGCACTGAATGACTTTCTGCCATTGTTTAAGTAACAGGTAAGCTGATTAAATGATGGAGCGACAAAGGGACAGAGATGAAGATGATAAATATAAGAGAAGAAGAGATGATGATAGATACAGGAGTGAAAGAGACAGTCAAGATAGGAGGCTCAACAATAAGAGTGATGAAGAAGATGCAGATGGTAGGAGGGGACGAGATAGGAACAAGGAAATTGTTAATGATAGGAGAGATAGGAACAGGAATAGGAGTGATGATGAAGATGCTAATGATAGGAATGGGGATAAGAGGCGTGGTGATGATTATGCTAATGATAGGAGGAGGAGAAGAGATGGATGGAGTGACAATGAAGATAAAAATGATAAAAGGAGAGACAAAAAGAAAGATAAAGGTAGGGATGAGGAAGATGATAATGACAGGAGAAGAGGAAGGAGGGATGATGATGAAGATGGTAATGATAGGAGGAACAAGGAAAGGAATGAAGATAGGAGGAAAAGAGGTAGGAGCAAGGACATAAGGAGTGATGATGAAGATGGACATGATAAGAACAACAGAAACAAGAAAAGAATTGATGAACATGATCAAAGTGATGAAGAAGTTGGTGAAATCAGGAAAACAGGGAAAAAGAATGAGGACATAAGTGATGAAGAAGATGGTGAGATCAGGAAAAGTGGTAGAAAAGGGAAGTATGATGATACGAGTGATAAGGAAATTGGTGAAATCAGGAAGAGAGGGAGAAAGGGTAAGGATAAAAGGAGTGATGATGAAGATGATAAATACAAAAGGCGAAGGAATAGGAACAAAGATGAAAAGAATGATGATGAAGATGACAGGAGACAAGATTATAAAAGGGACAGAAAGAGGAATGGTGATCATAAAGATAGAAGAAGAACTGATGATGATGATGTGTCAAAGCATAAAAGCGATCAAAATGGGGATAAAGAAAAACCGGATGAAGGCCCAAGATTCCAAAAGCTAGCTGATTTGCAAGAAAGCATGACTAATTTAGGAAAGAGTGGAGGGGTGTATATTCCACCATTTAAGTTGGCTCGTATGATGAGTGAGTTTCAAGATAAAAGCAGTATGGAATATCAAAGAATGACATGGGATGCATTAAGAAAGAGTATAAATGGTTTGGTCAACAAGGTCAATGCCACAAACATCAAAAACATCATCCCAGAGTTGTTTGCTGAAAATCTGATAAGAGGAAGAGGACTGTTTTGTCGATCATGCATGAAGTCCCAAATGGCATCTCCTGGTTTTACAGATGTTTTTGCAGCTCTGGTTGCTGTTGTAAACACCAAATTCCCTGAAGTTGGAGACCTTCTGCTCAGAAGGATTATCTTGCAGCTTCAAAGGGCATATAAGAGAAATGACAAGGTGCAAGTTGTTTCATCTACCTGACTTCTTTTATATTTTATATTTATACTGACACTAAGTGTTTTCACAGCCTCAGTTACTTGCTGCAGTCAAGTTTATAGCTCATTTGGTCAACCAACAAGTAGTTCATGAGCTTATTGCTCTTGAACTACTCACAACTCTATTGGAGAATCCCACTGATGACAGTGTGGAGGTTGCTGTTGGTTTTGTTACAGAATGTGGATCAATACTTCAGGATCTATCTCCCCGAGGTTTGCATGGTGAGTATTTTTTTTATCTTCTAAAAGTACATTGTTCTTTTCATTTGTCATTGTTGACATTATTTAACATATTCAACACTCTGTGTACTAAATTAATTATTCAGGTATCTTTGAGCGATTTCGTGGGATTCTTCATGAGGGAGAGATAGACAAAAGGGTGCAGTTCTTGATTGAAGGTCTATTTGCATTAAGAAAAGCCAAGTTTCAGGTTTAAAATCTTAAAATCTTGTCATATCTTATTACTATTTACAACTAATATATATATATATATATATATATATATATTAATCTCCAAACATGTTATGTTTACTTTACTACACAGGGGCATCCAGCTGTACGTCCAGAGTTGGATCTTGTTGAGCTGGAAGATCAGTTGACACATGAAGTATCTCTTCTAGATAAAATCGATCCAGAGATCGCCCTAGGTACATAATTTTTTTTTGTATTTATAAATGAATTTTCCGTTTTGTAGGTGTAAAGTGTATAAAAACAGTATTTGTTGTGCATAGATATTTTCAAGATGGATCCTGATTTCATTGAGAATGAAAAGAAGTATGAAGACCTGAAGAAAACAATTCTTGGCGACGAATCTGAAGAAGAAGAAGAAGGTGGTGGGGAGGATTCAGATGAAGATGAATCTTCAGAAGAAGAAGAAGATGAAGAGCAAATGAGAATCAGGGATGAAACAGAAACAAATCTTGTCAATCTTCGAAGAACAATCTACTTAACAATCATGTCAAGTGTTGACTTTGAAGAAGCCGGTCATAAACTCCTCAAAATCAAACTCGAACCCGGACAGGAGGTAAGAAAAACAAATATTTTCCTAGTACAATGGAATGGAATGGAATCGTTCATTCCATTCCGTTTCAAATTTGATACAAGTAAAACGAAAACCTTGGTTTTGGTTGCACAGATGGAGCTATGCATAATGCTACTGGAATGCTGCAGTCAAGAGAGAACATACCTTCGTTACTATGGTCTTTTAGGTCAAAGGTTTTGCATGATCAACAAAGTCTATCAAGAAAACTTTGAAAAATGTTTTGTTCAGCAATACTCCATGATCCACCGCCTCGAGACCAACAAACTCCGAAATGTCGCCAAATTCTTCGCGCATCTCCTCGGCACTGACGCCTTGCCTTGGCATGTCTTGGCTTACATCCGTCTCACCGAAGAAGACACCACTTCCTCTTCTAGAATCTTCATCAAGATCCTCTTCCAGGTAACTTTATTTTTACTTTTAATTATTATTATAATTACCTTTTTACCCTTTTTCTTTTATTGTACGATAGGAGCTGTCTGAGCATCTTGGGATTCGGCTGTTGAACGAGCGGTTGAGTGAGCCGGTGATGCAAGAGGATTTTGAGTCGATTTTCCCGAGAGATAATCCCAAGAACACGCGTTTTTCCATCAATTTTTTTACTTCCATTGGGCTTGGTGGGATTACTGAGAATTTGAGGGAGTATCTCAAGAACATGCCTCGTCTTATCATGCAACAAAAGCCTGCGTCGGAATCGGATTCCGGTTCCGGTTCTGATTCCAGTTCTGATTCCGATTCCGGTTCGGGGTCTGAGTCAGAGAGCGAGAGTGAGAGTGATCATAAGAGCAGCAAGCGCCGAAAGAAACGTTAGCATGTTTACATGTATTGTTATGTTGAGAAGAAATTGAATATCCGGTTGCATGAAAAGATGTTAAGGACTAGTTGTTTTTGGAGGTTTGTTCTATTTGATTGTAACGTTATATGATTTTCAGCAAACTGGATCTCAATGTGTAAAATCTGTAATGGTTTTGTGATTTTGTTTTTAAAGAATTTTTTTTATGGGATGTTTGAGAGATCAATTTTCAGAAAGCTTAAAAGAACATGGAAAATTTGTTGAAACTTGGTGACATGTTGAAACTATAGTTTCTGATGCAATCCATAGACAACATTTATGCAATCAATAAATATGGGAACATGCAATGTAAAAATTATAAGTTGTATCATGTCATTTAATTTGTGTTATTTGTATTAACTAATTATGTGGTAGCAAGTTTACTAAAAGTGCATTATTTTAGATTTTTTCTTAATTATTCAGGAATTTTAGCCTATGTTGTTTTGTGGGCTATAATGCTAAAACTGATTTAATTAAAATAAATAAATAAACTATTTACCCAGGAGTTAAATAGGATTGGAAAAAAGGTAAAATGAAATTATTGTTATTGTTATTGTTATGTTTATGTTTATGTTGTTGATATATTCTGCATGAGGATTTAATCTCCATTCATTCGTTTAATAAGAAAACTGACGGAGACTTTATTTTTATAAAAGTAAAATAAAATAAAAATCAGTATCAATAGACTTAAATCACAATTTTATTTTAAAGACTTCATTTTGTTTTATCATTTACTATTTAAATTATAGTATTTTTAGGTATCATACTATTAATATTATTAATATCCAGGGTATAAGTTTTTTTTATGATATAATTATTGTACATTATATTTATATATTTTTTAGTTTAATTTTTGGTGATCATCATATTTAAAATTTATGCAATATTTTAATATTTATAAAATTATATATGTACAATAAATAAATGAAAAACGATTAAAAGTCCAAAATTGAATCTATCTATCTCTTCTAATAAATGAAACTTAAAAATAATAAGTTTCAGCTTCAAAGGGCATATAAGCGAAATTCCTAGAAGTCGGAGACCTTCTTCTGAAGAGGATTCTTTTGCAGCTTCAAAGGGCATATAAGCGAAACGACAAGGTACGGATCATCTTCTTCTTTTTCTTGGTTTTATTTGAGATCGAGTAGTAGTTTATTTTACGATTATACTGACACTATGTGTTTTCACAGCCTCAATTGCTTGCTTCGGTCAAGTTTTATAGCTCATTTGGTCAATCAACAGGTAGTTCATGAGTTTATTGCTCTTGAACTACTCACAATTCTACTAGAAAATCCAACTGATGATAGCGTGGAGGTTGCTGTTGGTTTTGTTACAGAATGTGGATCAATACATCGGGATCTATCTCCCAAAGCCTTCCATGGTGAGTTAATTTATTGTCGTTTTGTTTTAACCTTCTTATCTTCAAAGACCACAACCACATTGTCCATTTATTTAATTCCTTTTTTTCATCTAATGCTATTCTGTTGTTATCCAGGTATTCTTGAGCCTTTTCGTGGGATTCTTCATGAGGGAGAGATAGACAAAAGGGTTCAGTTCTTGATTGAAGGTCTTTTTGCATTAAGAACATGCCATCCAACCATTCGTCCAGAGTTGGATCTTGTTAAGGTGGAAGATCAACTGACACATAAAGTATCTCTTCTAGATGAAATCGATCCAGAGATTGCCCTAGGTACATAAAGATTTCTAGATAACGATTCAAATATTTTCCATGTTTTTCAATATATGGCTGTATAACACTATCTCTTGTGCATTGTAGATGTTTTCAATCTGGATTCTAATTTCCTGGAGAACGAAAAGTGATATGAAGATTTAAAGAGAAGCATTCTTCGCGATGAATCCTCATCTGAGGATGAAGAGCATTCTGATGATGTGTCTTCAGAAGAAAAGAATGAAGAGAGAGTATTTGAAGAAGTCAACACATGATTCTAATTCTGATTCTTGTAGTGATAGTGAGGGGAATAATAAGCGCAGAAAGAGACATTAGGATCTTGACACATCATGATTTTGATACCTTGTTACATGAAGATGTTTATAAGTAGGAGTTGTTTTTGAGGATTCTTCTATTTGATTGTAACATTATGATTTTCTTCAAGCCAATGTATAGTGTAAAGTGTTGTTTCTTTTTGACTTGATGGATACATGACTTCATACAGGTACATATGCAGTGATGTTTCTTTTTAACTTAATATATTCAGCCTGTTTTATTTGGTTAAGTGACATTTGTACTTTTCTTGAGTCTATTCTAAAGAAATATAAACAATTGAATCTATTATGTGTAGAAATATAAAAGTACATAAGCCTATAAACACTTAATTGCATAACACAAGTTAGATCACATTATTTTGGTGATATTTCCAACCACATTGTTTACAACACCCACTTTACAAAAAGAAAAGAAAAAGTAATTAAAAGGGCCAAACAATGGGGATCAAATCATCAAAATGACTAAAAGGGGCTAATACAACATGTCTACTATTCACAACACATCATTTAAAACTAATTTGAATCAACAGCCTTTACAAGGTTTGACTTAGACCCATGTAGCATCTTTCTTTAATTTCAACAATACCATCTTATTTGACTTCTTTCTTATTGTCTGCAATTTCGAAGGTTGTGTTTAATCAATCACTTATTCTTTCAACTCATCTTCTTGTGTTTCACTAGCATATCTGGGGTATCCATGTTGGGGTTTGATGCATTGTAAAACAAATAAAGAAAAGTAAAAACTACTTACTATCTTTTGAAACTATTGCGTATAACACCGAACCAAGGTTTTAGATTATTCACATAATTATGCCACTACAAAATTAATAAAAATATTATAGGCTTAATTTATACTGTACCTTTCTCTTTCCTTTTTTGTTTATCTCTTGAATGCATAAACTTTACACTTAGTTAGAGACAATGTTTTACTTAACATAAATGTTTCTTCAAAAAAATGTTTAAAATAACATGTTACACATGTGCACAGTACTCAACTTTTTACAAATTATACTTTCAAGATAAAAGTTATTTTGCGAAACGTGTAATTTTTGCAAGTCAAATTTCCGCAAAAAAAATGGATGGTGTCCTATCACCAAGTGACTGTCGGTTTAAATAACTATCACATTTACCAAACATATAATTAAGACGAACACTCACAAAAAACAACAAATTATGTTTTTTTTTTTTTGCAAAAACCCACAAACCATACAACATTATGTTAAATAATTTAAACATAACTTGAAAAATGTGAAATTTAATATTTTGCAAAATAATTTATGAATTATTCTTATTTTGCAAAATGACACTAGTGATATATATATATATATATATATATATATATATATATATATATATGTGTGTGTGTGTGTGTGTGTGTGTGTGTGTGTGTGTAAATTCCTTGAAATATGAAACAAAATAAAACTGGATTTTTCAAAAAACAAAAACGAAAATGTTGGTTTTCTAAGATGGTTTGGTCTTTTCAAATTCAAAACTTATGTTTAGATTTTTTGGTTTTTGGTAAGGTTTCGGGTCTATTTTGCAATTTTAGTTTTTGGTTTTCTCGCAAACCTCCTTAATTACCAATAAGTTTGATATGAAAGTATGTTATAATAGTTCTGTAAAGATATTTATGTTGTATATTAAAGTTTAAACATTAAACATGATACTGAGAGTTTATTAACGATAGATATGGTTATAAAAACATTACAACCTAACAATTTTTTCCATGAAAACAAGAAACAAAACCAACAAATCGATGGTTTAGTATTTTAAAAATCATAAACCTGAAATTTTCAGTTTGATTTTGATTTTAGTCAAAATTGAAACATTTTCATTCCCTATTTGTTAACAAACTATGATCTATGGTAGAAATTATGTTGTATTAAAAAAACATGTTTTTTTAATGATGGTTTTTGAAGAAAAATAATTACGAATGATTTTTCTGAAATTTATTAGAAATCTTAATGGTATATTTGAAAAAACAATAATAAAACAATGAATTTTTAGATAAAAGCTTGAAAATTCAATGATTTTTTTTTATTTTTCAAAAACCGGGTTAGTAAAGATCCAGAAGGTTTGATCGGGTCGCCATTTAAGTTTCCCCTTTTCTCTTCACGACACGCACACACATACACATACACATACACACATACACATACACTCCCCCTCTCTCTACAATGGAGCTTTGAATTGGATGTAACGGTACTAAAAATTACAGCGACAAATCTCCAGGATTCGGAGCTCACTGACAAAGGATTCCCTGTAAGTCAAATGTGTATGAACTCTTCTCTCTCCATTTCAATTTCATTTCAGTATCTCGAATTTCGCTTGTTTTAGGTGTGTGTTTTCTTCTCAAAGATGTTTGTTTTGATACGGCCGCTAGTTCCACCTAATTTAAACCTAGTTTTATGCTATACATCTGTTTCTTTATACTTCTTACGAATTCACATATATTCTGAGCGATGAACGCTGCGAGGACATCAGTTATTATACATTACACCGGAAACAAAAACTCGGTTGTAATCTTTGAAAAGATGGAGTGATTTTGCTGTGGAAATCCAAATACGTATGATAATCTTTTCGTTTATTCTTGTTGAATCCTTTTTTTTTTCTTTCTAAGCAGTGCTTCGCGAGTCGTAATTCACTGTACACTAGATGGATGCATGTTTGGGGACTTCGATTTTATCGTTTCGAAACAGAATTCGAGCATTTTATTGAGATTTGATTCTGATTTCATATTTCGAAGTTAAATGCTCCAAACACCAATTCTCATAAACGACTTGTGTGAAATTAGGGTTTATTTTTGGGTTTCGTGATTTTAAATCGGAGTCCTTATTTCTGTATTTTTTGGTTCCCACATCTGTTTCTTCATTTATGCCCTGACACCAGGAAGTTAAGAAGCTATGGTTTCTTTGTGTAAGTTATAATTATTTTCTGTTGTCCAGTTTACATGTGATTGACAATGAAGAGGAGTGTGCCATTTGCTTTGGATATTTCATCGGATGATGATGATGATGATGATAAACCTTCTCCATCCAATGGAATCAAAAATCTTTCTATTACCAAGCGCCCAAAAATCGAGACTACACTTATCAATCCAATTCCTGCCAAAAAAGTAATAACCGAAGGTAACTTCATGTCTTGTCAAACTTATACCGATAACCTGTTATGTCATGTCATATCATGTATGTTTTTTTATTGATGCAGAATTACTTAGAAAAAGTGCAAAAATGTATCAAGAATACATGAAGGAGATTCCGATTCCGGCACAACATCGGTCAATCATTCCATTCAAGTCATGGACCGGATTAGCCAATTCCATGAAACAGATGTACCAGCAACCGCTCCATTACTTGACCAACATCCGAATGAAAGAATGGGATGAAATGAGAGATGGTGATGGAGATGATCCTCTGCCATTGGACACCATGATTCATCCATGTAAAGCTGAAACAAACATCTGGCTCATTGAAGAAGTTCATAGGCTGACATCATCCCATCAGTTTCTTGCTAAATTATGGATAGCTGATCCCATGTACTACACTTTTATTGATTCCGTTTTCCCCCAGTTATGACACTCTAATTACCATCTCTAGACTCTCTAGCTTCTTAGTTTGCAGATTTACTTTAGAATCAATCTATGATGATGATGATGATGTTAGACTTTGCTTTTAAGAAATCTGTTGATGGTTGCCCATTTTTGTGTGTTTTACAGTAACATGATGGTTGATTCTGGTTTCAAAAACTTTGATTAGACTTGTATACGTAACGTTTGCAAATTGCAATTGCATATCATATTGTAGAAATTGTGTTTAATTGTATAAAAATGTTTTCATCATTTTTTGAATAAGACTTAAAGATTCTTTTACAATCTTTATCGTCTTTATACCTGGGTTTATTGGTTTCGATATTTTGATCACTTTTTTCAGCCAAACAAAAAAGAAAAAAAAACATTTTTAGCGGATAGAACCTCGAAAAACAAAAACTTAGGTCAGTGTTTTGTTTGAGATTGTGAATAGAGACACATTAAGGGAGGACTGTTTGTTAATTAAATTAAGAGGAGACTTTTAATTTCTTAATTTGTCTTTTGTTATTTCAATTAATTTGTTATTTCGACTAAGAGGATGACTTTTAATTTTTCAGAATGGGAACGTTTTGATAGCTTCTTAATTTGTCCTTTTATTACCCAACAATCTCTTAATTTTTAAGAGAATTAGTACCTGAATAACTATATATATATATATATATATATATATATAGACAAAACTGCAAAATTGGTCCTTGTGGTATTCAAAAAACTTTGGATAGAGTCCAAAAAGTTTCCAACTTGCATGGCAGGTCCAAAATCAAGAAATTCCTGTGATTTTGGTCTAAAAAAACTTGAAAATACGGTTTTGCCCTTCTATTTTCTTTTTTGTATTTTTTATAATCATTCTAATATTTTTTTATTTAAAAAAAAAGAATTATCCCCCCACCCCACCGTTCTCTCTCTCTCTCTCTCTTGGTCGTCTTTTTCTCAATTTGTTCTGATTCTCGTCAATATGAGCTTTCAAACAAGAACCAGTTGTGAAATGATTATTAAAATCTAGAAGAAGTAAGAAAATCAAACCCAATTGTATGTCTTTGTTCGATTTTGATAGTATGTGAAAAGGGTGATATTTCTGGAAAAAGGTGTGGGTCGGACTAGAGTCTGTGGGCAAAAAAATTGAAGAACAAGAAGTTTAAAAGTGAAGTCTACCCCAAGATGAAGCATCCCACCATCTCCTATTTCTTTTCCCCCACCATTTTTCAGAAACCCATATCTACAAGCTTTTCTTTCAATCTGAATCTGCATTTGGATCGAGATTTGTAGGGGTGTGAGCTTTTCATCATCAATTTCTGGGTTTTACATCATTGTGTGTGTGTTTATTGTGTTGTATGTGTATGAATGTGTTGAAGAAGATGAAGTGATTATTACAACAACCCATGAACGATTATTACATTAGCAGGGGTGAAGAAGGCTCTGTATCCAGAGACGGTTCTTCTTTAGAACGAGGCGAGAGAAGAAACCCATAGCATATGATCGTCGATGACTACTTCATGAGTGAGTTCAGGTGTACGGTAGTATGTGTGAGAGAGAGAAGGGAGGGTGACTAGAAGCTCTGATTGTGATGACGGGATTGTTCCGATGATGCTTAAGGTGTGATTAGGGCTTGGAACCCCTCAATTGGACCTTAATTCCTCACATTCGATTTCTCGTCATTACTAAATGTGGAAGGTAATATTATCCTTTCCTGAATCTCTCTTCTCTTCTTCTTGGTTGATTGCTCATGTACGACATCCTTCTAACTACTTTTTTGGTTTTGAAGATGATGTTTCCTGGGAAGAAGAGACAGGTGAATGAAGAGAATATTAATAAAAGGTTGGATTTCATTTTCACCACCACCAGTGATGATAAGCAGCAGGTATGAACAAGTCTGATGCCCCCAAAGCCTACTTGTTCGTGTCACTTATCTCAAATCAAGATGACAGGTGGTGTTTATGAAACTCATATGCAGGTGAACCAAGGAGGTGTCGATATTTATGATTTTGATTGTATTCTGATGATTCATGGTGCCATGGAAGGTTCAATGTTTCGTAAACAATGTGTGTATGTAGTTTAAATTGCAGGCGAAGTGAGGTGAGGGAGATAGGGAAGAGAGAGAGAGAGAACGGTGGGGGTAGGTGGGGTGGGGGATAATTCCTTTTTTTTAAGTAAAAAAGTATTTAGTATGATTATAAAAAATACAAAAAAGAAAATAGAAGGGCAAAACCGTCTTTTCAAGTTTTTTTGGACCAAAATCACAGGAATTTCTTGATTTTGGACCTGCCATGCAAGTTGGAAACTTTTTAGACCCTATCCAAAGTTTTTTGAATACCATAGGGACCAAATTTGCAGTTTTGTCATATATATATATATATATATATATATATATATATATATATATATAAACATGTTTTGAAAATACTCTAATTTTTCAACAAATATCTTTTCTTTTTTTCTTTCTATTTCACACAACCACCTCTCTTTTTTCTCATGCTGACTTAATATAGTCTCCAACATCTTAAAGATTTAAATCTAAAAAATTCATACCTCTTAAAAATCTAGATCTTGAAAATTAAAATTCTTTTTAAGATTCTGTCTAATCCCCTAAAGTCTTATCCAAAAACAATGTCAAAATGTTGCATCTATTATATAAACAGAAAATGTTGTTTACATTATAAAAAAAACGCAATAGATGAAAATTTATAACTCTGTTAAAACGAAAAGTTAGACCAGTGTTTTGGTTTAGGTGTTATCCAAAAACTGGTCAAAATATTGTGTCATTTACACAATTAAACCTAAAAAATTAAAACATGGCCTTTCACTCTAATGAATACACCAGGGAATATAAATGTTAATATAATATGAATCCACATGTGGTAACATTACCTAAAATTGTGTCTCATAAGTCATCATTGCATATAAAAAATATATATATGTATTGTAGAGTACCAAGGGTGATTCTCCCGGAATTGACAAAAAAATATTATTGATTTTTATACTAGGTTGTTTTCCTCGGTAGAACAAAAACATCAGCATGAGGACAGAACAGACAACAAATTGACATCTCAACTCTGCTACCTAAGGAAACTTGTATATAATAATAATACCATATCATATCATATAGAACACAAGTGCATAAAGAGACAATATAAGAAGGAAAAAAAAAACAGCAGAGCTTTCATGAGAGGTGTCCAGTAGTCTGAAGCAGCTGTTTGTTTTTTTGTTTTTTTTTGGTTTTCTTAAGAAATTAATACTTTCAATATCTTCTTCATATACACAACCAGTGACCATAAAGCTAGCCCAGCCGATACGTAAAGTAAACCAACACCACTTGCTCCCAGAAACCCTACCTCCGTAAAACTGCATTTTTTTTTGTTGTAAAAAAATTATTTAAAAGATAAATCTCATAAATGGGTAATCAGCTATTTCTTTTTTCATAAAACACCATTGTTTTAATAAGTACTATCAGAATGTAAAGCAACAGAAACAAAAAAACAAAACGTGTCAGTTGTTTACCTTCTTATACTACTTTTTTTATTTAAATTTTGTTGGAAAATAACTAAATAAAGAAATAGTTTGTTACCCATTTATGACACTAACCCTTTATTTAAATATGTTAATATATATTTTTTAAATGATTTATATACAAACCTGGGATCTCTAATTGTGAGAAGAATGGTCAACGAAGTCATCTGTGTCGCTGTTTTCCATTTCCCCAAATTATTTACAGCAACAGCCTGAAGATTATTCATAATTTTCCAAGATATTAGGAATAATAATAATAATATAATAACAGTAAATAACTAAATTAATTAAATATACCTCGGAAAGTTTACTACCCTGAGAAGCAGCCCATTCTCTAACTGCAGACATTGTTATCTGCAGTAGTAAATAAATAAAATATCAAATGTAAAAAGTCAAACGCAAACAACCAAAGTTTATATAAACGTGAATTACATGATGGAAATGATTTATTTATATGCCTAATGAAGAATATATATATATAGTGGAAGAAATTAAAAAAAAAAAAATTGGCATCTCATATTAATACATGTGCCATGTGCTAAAATGGCAGTAGACATACGAATAATAGCCTAACCCGTAATTCCTTTATTATGCTAAAAGCCTCATCAATTAATTCAAAGAAAAGACAGAAGCAAGATATATGTTTCATATTCCAGTTTGGCAGCTTTGCCATTTTTTATGTTTGGTAGCTTTCAGATAATGTTCAAATATCACATTTTCTAGTCAACATCTTCATTATTAAAATTGTGAGAAAAGTTAATAGTCTATTATCACTTCAAAGTTAGAAGCCTCTAGAAGAAGAAGGAACAATATGATATCAAAAAAAAAAAAAAAAATTTACCTCTCTACCAATTACTGCAATTGATGGCACAGTTAATAACCAAGGCAATTCTCCAAGCATAGAAGCTTCCGGAGGTTTTGTACATAACAACACCAAGGTAGTAGCCACCATAAGCTGCACCAAATAATCAAAACAAGATAAGATGACTGAAAGAAAAAAGTAAACCATGAAAGAAAGATACTACTTTACTGAAAGGGAACAACAAAGAAAATGAAAGTGGTGAAAAGTTTATAGATTTTTTAAGTTGAAAGATGCAATTGAGTAAAAAGGGAGTACCTTATCAGCCACAGGGTCTAAAAATGCACCAAAAGCGGTTCCTAAGTTCATCTAAAATGAATCCAAGGAGATAAATTAATTTAGAGACAAAAGTTTGTTGGATCTTTCTCCAATATTTAAAAAGAAAAATGCATACTTTTCGTGCAAGATATCCATCAAGCCAATCTGTAATTGCTGCAGCAATGAAGATGCCTGTGGTGGCAGTTGTCCCCAGCCGACTATTCATATAAAAAGCTAATGAAATTCAAAAGGGGCATGTTAGTATCATCAAACTGGAGTGTACAATACATGCAACAGGGATAACTGAATCATCCACCATAATGAACAAAATTCTAGACGTAAATTCATGCCAATTTCAATGATAAGAACAGGCAAAGCAGCTAAAAGGAAGTCACAAACTCACAGTATGCATCCATATGAAGATTAGGTGCAGAAGGTAGCTTCTTCTGACATTCATAAGTTTCATTGATTAGCATGTCTAATAAACAACAACTCAAAGAAACCATTACCAAATGCAGCAGCTTAAACCATTTTCTTCTTATACATTAAGCTGTTACAGCATTTTCATTTATGTGTAGAAAACAGGGAGAAACAGAAAAGTGGCTTCCCTAACCAAGCACGATAGGTTCTCTAGATATATAGTTCATATCACAAATTGGATCCAAATGGCATAAAACTAGAGTAAAAAAATCCAAGTACAGACTACATACATTATGAAATATTAGCAGCATGTGAAATTAAATCTAACAACATATCGTGCTTGAATCAAGCCAAAAGGAGCCTAAAAGAACAAATGTGTAGAAACAAATCAATTACTTAACGTATGAATCTTAAAAGAAACCAAAAGATCTCCATCCAGTTCGCCTCATTTCCTCGCATCTATGACATGTTCCGTATCCATGAATTTATCTAATTGCATATATCAAACAACGTTCACAACTTGTCCACAATTATATGAAACATCTTAAAATCCATCGATCTTTGAGCAGAAATTGTGATGTTCTGCAATGTTAAAATTCATAAACATTCAGAGATAGATGAGGGGGGACGTACTGCAAACGATAACAGGAATCGCCGCAACGCGTCCGATTGTTAAGATCGTAGGCAACGTGAGCAATTTAGTCGACGGATTCTGTTTAGACGGCGCCGATTTTAGGTGGCGGTGGTTGTCCGACGACAATGTAGACGTGACACCGGAGCCGCGGTCGTTCTCCGTTGCCCGTTTGTCATCTCTGTTATCATTGTTTACGGATCCCATACTCACTCTACCACCGTTAAATGCGTTTCCTCCTACTTTATCTTTAGACGTATATCTCAAATTTTTCTGACCACGAAACCCTAGTCTGTTATTACTGTTATTATCGTTGCTATTATTATCGTGCGCTGGGGTCGCACAGGTTGTTGTCCTCCACCAGCTCGAGCACATCGGAGGTGGCGTCGTAGACCTCCTGGTGGCGATTGCGCGACCTAGCCACCAGTATTGACGCCGGTGGTGGAGGGGAATAGAAGATACGGTGGTGAGTTTGAGGAGGGTGAAGGGCATGGTGATGTGTGGGTGAGAGGGAAGATTAAATAGGATGCGCACCCGTCGCTTATGTTAGCACGAAATTTTTTCACGGGGCTTACGTTAGCAGTTTGGTGCTAATATCTCTCGTCCTGATTGAAGTCTCGAGTCCGCAAACACTCGTTCCCCGGCAAAGCATCTCTGTCACTCAAAGATCTCGTTTCTCTCTACACGATGTACCATCAACACAGCACCAGGTACAACTCTCAAAAAGTATTTTCGTTTATACTTTGCTTTAACTTTGCTTTTACTACAATAAACACAAAAAAAAGGGTAACTACACTTTTGGTCCCTTTGGTATACACAAATCTGCAGTTTTAGTACTAGTATTGAAAGTTTGACGCCGGTGATCGTTATGGTTGACAAATCCATCGGTTTCGATCCTCGACCCAATTACCGTCTATCCCATTACGTTAAATACATATGAAATGATTACAATGACCTGGTTTTTTTCCTTTTTCTGGGTTTTTAGAATTATGATTATATTAAATAATAGTCCCCACCCTATACCACCGCCACCACTTTCCTTTTCCAATTGACACCATCACTACCACAACGATATCCGACCAACCTAACCACCCTCTGCCATATCCGTCCAACCACACCACCCACCATCAGTTTTTAGTCAAACTCATTACCACCACCCACAATTATTCCTAGTTCTTAGTAGGAGGAAAGAGAGATATAGTAGATCTAGTAGGTTCCAAAATTGCGAGAGAGAAAAGAGAGAGAGATATGTTGTTAATGAGGCCACCATCGGGAAAGGTAGAGGAGGAAATGGTAGGCATATCTACCACCATAATATAGAACCGGTGAGGGTGGCACACATCTATCTAGTGAGGGTGGAGCAAGTATGGTAATGCAAGGCATGGTGGCGATGTTGTATTAAGGTGTCTAAGCTCATAGCTAAATTGGTATATTCTTGTAATTGGAAGCAAATTCCTTTTTGGGTTGCCATTATAACTAGAACTTGATTATAATGACATTTATAGAGAGATAATGATTTATTGGATTATTATATGATTAATAAACTAATTGGAAATTATGAAGAAATGATTTGTTAATATACTATATGATTGATATATTAATTGGAATTAGATAGTCGATTTGTTAATTTATTATCTAACTGATAAATTAATATGAGATCGGTTGTTAAAATAATTGATTTGTTAGTTTATGTGGCTAATAAATTAATATGACATCAATTATAGTTGATTAATTATTAATTAGAATTAATCTGGAATTAAATTAGGATTAATTGGAATTAATTAAAGGTGCAATGGGTGAATTGTAATTTGTAACGCTTGATTCATGTATCATTTATTTCTCAACATTTTAGGGTTTTGGACTGGAACTCGACGAGTTAGGGAGCCCCAACTCGTCGAGTAGGGATCGTTTTAGACGCGAGATTAAGGGTCTACTCGACGAGTTGGAAGGCCCCAACTCGACGAGTAGAAGCTGGAAAGGAAAACCCTAATTTTTAGGGTTTGCACCTTATTTAAAGGCCTTAAGCCTCATTGTTAACCTCCCTTACCGCCCCCTTTGTCCAGAGAAACCCTATTTCGTGTTTGTTCCCCTATATTGAGTGTGTGAGAGCTTAAGGAGTACCTTTTTGGTGTTTATGTGAAGAAGCTTGAAGTGGTTGGTGCATAGCTGAAGGAAAAGACTGTAGATCCGGTGTTTACTCTGCTGAGGCAGCCATCTTAAGGTATAAAGTCGATGCCTTGGCCTTTTATTGCTTAGATCGTCTTCTATGAAAGTTTATGGCCATTATTAGCCTAGTTTGGGACCATTTTTGGATTTGAGCATGTTATGAAGATATGACTTCGGATCTAGACATCTCAGGGCCTTTGTAGACTTAAAGTTGCCAACTTCATCAGGTCTTGGCCCTCCTTCATGCTCTAAGTCCCTTGATAAGCTTTGTTTGGGTGTTTTATGTAACGACCCAAACGTCAAGGGTAAAAAATTCATTTTTCAATATAATCAAACCCAAGTGTCACTTATTTCAAACATTCAAAAACATTGTTTAATTAAAAATTTTATAAGAGTTTCATCCCAAAATCACGTAATGCGGAAAACACGGGTGTGTGCGTTGCGATCAAGTCGGGCCCTTCCTTTCCAAACTGATGATACCTGAAACCATAAACAAAACTGTAAGCACGAAGCTTAGTGGGTTCCCCAGAGCATACCCCACATAATCCACATAACCACATAAACCATATTAGCTATATCAGCTACACAAACCACATAAGCCATACATACAAACATATAAGGATGTCGTGGAAACCCTCCAAGGTCTTACTCCAGGATGTCGTGGGCTCCCCCCAGGGTCTTATACCTACATGCCATGGGCTCCTCCCATGGTCTTTACCTGGGATGTCATGGGCTCCCCCCATGGTCTGATATCCAACTGCCACGGGCTCCCCCCGGGGTCTTCCATGTAATGACACATAGTCAACAAGCATACCACATATCACAGAGCATAACTATCATACTACATAACACATAAATAAACATATATGGATGTCATGGACTCCTTCCAGGGTCTTACTCCAGGATGTCGTGGGCTCCCCCCAAGGTCTTATACCTATGTGTCATAGGCTCCCCCCATGGTCTTTACCCAGAATGCCATGGGCTTCCCCCATGGTCTGATATCCGACTGCCGCGGGCTCCCCCGGGGTCTTATGCAAGTATCACAAAGACAACTAGCATATCACATATCACATAAACAACTAGTATACCACATATCACGTAAACAATGCATATAAACATATAAGGACGTCGTAGACTCCCTCCAGGGTCTTACTCCAGGATGTCGTGGGCTCCCCCCAGGGTCTTATACCTATGTGTCATGGGCTCCCCCACATGGTCTTAACTACTTGCCATGGGCTCCCCCCATGGTCTTTACCTGGACTGCCATGGGCTCCCCCATGGTCTAATATCCAACTGTCCCGGGCTCCCCCCGGGGTCTTCACATATCTAGTCAATAAAATACTAGCACATTCCCATATACATGCATACCAGACATATCAGTAGTGAATCCACAATAAACACTACAACTAACTGGATGGGTCGGCCTTGGTGCCTTACACCTATTGGTATGGTGAGGAGACTCACCTTACTGCTGAAGTCCCGCGAATAAATCCCTGACTGCTGGCTGGCCGGTCCTCATACTGTCAATCATCAAGACAAAACCCAATTAACCATTTGGGTTTCAATACATAACCATAACTCTACACATAGGTTAAATGGACCATTTTACCCCTAGCATAGCTTGGTTCAAAACCAAGGCCCAAGCTCACATTCTGAAGGCCCAAAAGCCAAATAATCAACCAAGACCCAACATATGGCCCAATTTTCCAAATTGGGCCCAAACCTCTACATGGTCTTATCTTAAGGCCCAACCATTTATTCTAGTCCAAACACTTGGCCTTCCGATGGTCCAATATCTCATAATCATCAAGGCCCAATTATGGCCCAATTTTCCAAATTGGGCCTAAGCCTTTCCAATGGGCCTTATCCTAAAGCCCAATAATTTCCTTAGTCCATAAACATGTTTTCATTTGGTCCATCAATAAGCCAATCACCAAAGCCCAAAAGAAGGCCCAACTTGAAGCCCAAATATAATTAGGGTTTTCACATAAAATAACTATTAGGGTTAAGTGTTCCTACTTAACCCATTCCTACTTAACCCATTAAGGACTTGATCCATTAAGGAATTAATCCATTAAGTCCATTACTCCACTAGACCAAACATACAATGTGGTCGGGCGTAATTCAAAATTCCAAATCCAACGGTCCAACGCGGGTCCCAACAAATCCAAAACTCATATTCCCAAAATTAGGGTTTCCAACCAAATCACAACCCAATTAATCCAATAGTTAAAATTTTATATTAATTAAATTCTAACAAGTCGGGTACCACCCACTACCACCTCGGGCAGTGGTGGTTGACGGTGGTTCACGGCGGCAGCCACCAGCTCACGGTGGTGGTGGTTATGATCTTAGGCCAAACCAACACCAAAAGCACTCCAAACATTAATCCAAATGCACCCGAAAGCCCACAGCCACCGGAGATGGTGGCTAGTAGTGGCGGAACGACGACAACAAGTGGCGGCCACCACCTTATGGTGGTGGTGATGAGTTTCCTTCCGTTTACTGGCCAAGAGAAATCCATACAACATTAAACTCATGAAATAGGTTTATACACACACCAAATCACACACACAGCCACCTCCTTACGGTGGCTGGTGGCGGCAGAAGAAGACAATATGGCAACAGCCACCATGGTTGGCTGCCATGGTGGTTGTTCTCAGGTTTTCTAGCCAAACAAGCACCCACAATCCTTCAGGGTTCTAATAGCAGCACTTATCTATTCAAGACACGAGACCACAACTCCCAACCATCGACTAGGCGGCTGAGGACGCTGGAACAAGCAGAAACTTATGATGGGAATGTCTAATTATTAAACATTGATTGTTAATATTTAAATGAAAATTTTTACTTGAAATTTTGGGTTGTTACAAGTTGGTATCAGAGCCTTGGTTTGAAAGATTTGGGCACACTCTTGGGTGTGTCAGAACTCAAGCTGAGGAAATGGTAAAAAAATTGTTTTTTTTTTTAAATCAAAAGTTAAAATTTTCTTGGAGTTAATTTTGTAAGTAAAGAGGGAGAGTGCAATGCGCGTAATCGACCGACCTCAAGTAAGTATTCCCAATGTTTTAGCCATGCTATGATATATATGGAAATTGATGTTGAATGGATTAATTTCTAAGTGTATGCTTTCAAAGTTGTACATGCTTAGGATTGCATAGCCTTAGAATGAAGGAATCTGCCTTATTCATGTTCCTTGTCTGGTTGTGGTTTAGGGTAGAAGCTTTATTTGAAAATCTATGTGATTCTCTTTGTGTATAACTTGCATGCATAGGGCAACCTGCTATGATTGATTCGAGTTTCTGGGTTGATGAGGATTGAGAAATCCTAGAATAGTCTAGGATCTGAATTAGTGTTGTGCTTATGAGTCATGATTTGTG